TGTGTAGATTTCGTCTTCGCAGTGTTTAAAGTAAATACTTTCCTTTATCATCTATGCAAATAAACAAATTTCATGACAGTCTATTGTAAGACTAGAAGGATGGCCTGGATACATTCAAAGGCCAATTCAGCTTAGTAACATTGTGAAAAGCATGAAACTTAGATCTCGCCAGATTTGTACTCCCGAATTATCATACAAATATGAAACGTAACATCAAGAAAATGACTTGTATAATTGTTGTAGAGAAATTTTTATAGAAATATTTGTTGCCGAACAAACTTACTGTTAAAAATAAGTCTAAGTCATTTACTGAATTGTAGGCATTGCAGCCATTACCAAACTTTCCCAGTGGTCATCGAAAAAGGATGGCTTTTGAATTGATGACAAATTACGCAGGTGGTTATATCAGATTTAATATATGATTTACCAACCAGAAAGAACGAAAAATGTAAACTTCGCACATAAGGCCTCTAAAACGACTGTCATGACATCTACATCATCAAGAGAGCGAGACTTAGTGAATTTCTTGAACTGCTCGTTAAACCGGCCTTCTGTACCTTGGTACCTGCGCAACGTCTGTGAGGTCAGGTATCATATGATAACATATGATCGGTAACATATGATCATTCTTCATGCACTCAATTGGAATAATCAGTCTTGCTGAAGACTGTTAGACTTCGTGTTTTCGAGCGTCTAATGCGGTATGACTCCATGTTGCATAAACAAGATCAAACGATCGTTGTTAGCGATTTGTCAATTTTCCAACAGCGTTGTTATTCGTACATATGAAAATGATCTAATCTGACTGTTGGTGAAATCTGATTTATGAGGTTCCATGATATTTTGATACTTATGCGACTGTACAAAGCTTCTGAACATCGTAACACATTAAGTGCTCAGAATTAGGTGCGATAAAGAGACTAATCACCAAGCGCAATATGCGTTCCATCGTTTTATGGTATCGAATAAGCAGCCGATGAAGGAATATAACATACAAACGAATGCTTTGAACGCATTTTCTATCGAGATGTAACAAGTAGGCTCCGGAAGGCGAGAGGCATAATTTTTCCTTTGTTTGACACATGACTATGAGTAAGTGCATTATAAAATAAAGCAGTAAAGAAACTAGTTTTAGACTACCAAAATTTTTCAATGATTCTATCTATAAGTCGGCTCTTTAAGCTTTTCAACGACTATGACCCATATGTTGCGGCAGAGGAAGCAGTTTCGAACCGCACGGAGTGTAAACCTGTTTATCGCCATCAGATAAACAGCGATCGAGAGTGATAGTTACTGATAAAGCAGGGTTAGAAAGATAAAATTCCAAACAAGCATAACATGAACGTCAATCTGTCAGCAAACTCGAAATCCCGAAATAGTTGGGATGTTCTATCTTTGCAGTTTGCCTAGCTTGCATTTCGTGGATTGCGTCCTCAGGATTAGACATATTAAAATATTTCGGCTATTGAACCTGTTCCCCGAGTTTCCAGTTATTTGTTCACTTGCTATCACTCATCAATGTCTTCATGGCGATCCCTCAGTACTATAAAAACGGATTTTCTGCTGCCAGGTATGAATCATCATCCGTTTACAGTCATTAACGAGACGAAACCAACTTGGCCGCTCTTGAAGCTTTGATATTTATTTATGTGTTTATTTATGGGTTATTGGATAAGAGTGACGTAATGGGTGGTAGCACGGCTTTGATAATGTGGAGTTAGAATCCAAGACAGAGAA